AATAGGATGCAGAATTGCCATAAAAACTACATCTATCTAATCATACTTTAAAAGATAGGCTATTATTTACTCAGAGTAATAAATATCACAGTATCTCTCATTTGGCTTTGTATATAACTATACTGTTACTTTATGAAGGATGGAATAGCCTAATTGGACTAGGTTATTTACTGGAAGCAAAATAATATAAGTCTTAATTAAATTCTGGTAAATATATCAACGACAACATTTTTGTCTTGCATTCAGAGTGACAGTGATGACACATTTCCTTTGCTTTGTGTCTGTGGGTTTCAGGTGCTGTCAGAATGGACTGGTGTGCGTCTGGACTGTTCCTCAGGACACTTGTAGCCACTCTGAATTAAGTTCTGGGGGATCTGATGAATGGTGGGAAATGGAAACAAAAACAAAGATGAGGGTATGGATCCATGTCACAAATATTATAGCTGTTTCTCCTTATCAGTGTTTTCTGAATTTTAGCAAGAAGTATTGAACATTAGAGATTGCCTTTTGGGACTTTTCATGTCATGTCTTTGTCTTAAAGGACTGTTACAGAAGATTGGATGGTGCAGTTTGTGTTTTTCAACTCAAGGGTCACATCACGCCAGTAAGATCTGTAGCTTTTAGTCCCGATGGGCTGGCTTTGGTGTCTGGTGGTGTTGGAGGGCTTATGAACATCTGGTCTCTAAGGGTGAGAGGTTTTTCTGTTGTAGAAAAAAGTTTTATAGCATTGAAACTCAGGACATCACAATAAATGAACAGTTTGTTTATTACTAATGTCGAAATTCAGATGACCGTTAGTGAAGGCTGTTCATGTTGTACATGCATATTCAAGTCCAGATCGATTGTTTTGGAATTGTAGCAGTGGCTTGGCTTGGATTTCTATAATATAAAGCACCTGTATTTTGTGTAGTGCAGAAAATAAGTTTACTTTTGCTTATAGGATGGGTCAGTGCTGCAAACAGTGGTGGCAGGATCTGGGGCCATTCAGAATATAGCCTGGATCCCTGATGTGGGTGTAGCAGCTTGTTCTAACAGATCAAAGGTAATAATTCATGCATACAGTCATTTAGAGCAAATACATGTGCATTTTTTAGATATACTGCAAATTTTATGAAAAGTAAATATACAATGATGACTATGATTTATGTATGTTCACACTTTTAGATTATTTTCTTTCTTGATTCTCTCCATGTAAATGTTTATTTTTTAGGACGTACTTGTTGTGAGCTGCAACTCAGATTTTATAGGTGGACACCATGTTCTAGCGACATGCAGAACAGCTCTAAAGAAGCAGGGGGTTACGGGACTGAACATGGCGCCCTGCATGAGGGCCTTTCTGGAGCGTCTACCAGTGATGTTACAGGAGCAGTATACCTATGAGAAGGTACCAAATGGAGGGGGAAAAAGGGAAATGTTGCATCGTATGACTTTTTCTTTAAATCTGAAAGTTCACCTCTATGTGCTGTTGACGTTTGAAACTAACGTTCCAAAGTGTGGAAGGCTGATCGTCTTGGTCTTGTTCTCATGCAGCCTCATGTGGTTTGTGGTGACCAGCTGGTTCACAGCCCCTACATGCAGTGTCTTGCCTCCCTTGCTGTTGGACTGCAACTTGACCCGCTGCTCTGCAATCCGCCAGTGCCTCCCCACTTGCAGCACTGCCCTCCTGACCTGGGTTCGTGGAACCCCAGCGAGTGGGCCTGGCTGGACTGCTTCTCCACCACGGTCCAGGCAGCAGAGGCCCTGGCACGAGGCGCTCACTTCCCAGGGTCCTTCACTGTACCAGATCTGGAGCCAGTGCCAGAAGAGGAGCTGGCGCTGCTCATGGTATGGGCTCTGTAACGCAGTGTGTCCGTTCTCTCCATCACTGTTTTCCGACAGTGCCATCTCTGCTGCACGGGGGCATTGTCACAAAGACCTTCCTTCTAATTTCTAATTTCAGGTGATTCAGAGCCACATATGTCGGAATATTACTTGCTGATGGAATATGTGTGTTACTTTAATTACATATTATGAGACTTCAAGACGAGAACGAAAACTAAACTTCTTTCCATCCATGCCTGGGAGATATTTTGATAGTTGTGTATGTATTTCTGAATGTCCGACACAACTGCATTGCATTGGTACTAAACTGGTTTGTGGTTGTATGCATTTGTATCAAAATTGAAATATTACGTTTATATATTTTAGGACAACAGTAAATGGATATCTGGAATGGATGAGCAGATTATGTCCTGGGCAACTACAAGACCAGAGGTAAGGACAGCAGGGGGAGCAGGTTGGTATTTAGATCATGTGTGCAGAAGTATCTCACCTAGACGTTGGTGATCTCTTGCAGGACTGGCACCTTGGTGGAAAATGCGATGTGTTTCTCTGGGGAGCTGGTCGACATGGGCAACTGGCTGAAGCTGGGAGAAACATTTTAGTGCCGACTTCAGCCCCCTCTTTCTCGCAGGCCCAGCATGTATGAAACATTTCCCATTTTCTGACCTTCTGTGTTACTCAACTCGTGTTATCCAGTAGGTGGAAACTGTAACATCTGTAGATTTAAAAAGGGTGTTAGCTGCTGTCAGTTGTTCTGAAATTTGTCACCATGTCTGAATTTTAAAAAAAACATCATTAGCTTTTTTTAAATTGAAATAACATTTAAAAATGATTTCTCAGTTTAACTTTGAGACATTTCCAGAAAGGGAATGTGTTCCAGTTACTTTGGTATCCAACAGATTTTTGTTACAAATGTGAGCAGAAAAGGTTAGCACTTATTTTTAGTTTCATTCTACACAAATCAGTCTTGTGTGGAGGTCGTTTTTAATTCTTTCCAATGAATTCATCTTCGTGAGGAAACAATCTTTTAGTGAGGTGATTGCTTTCTGGAAATTAGCTTCCAGTCGATCTCTTCATTATTCATATTTTCACGTAGGAGTTACGTGGTCCTATTCTTAGAAAGATACATTAGTAAAGCGAGTCTATTTAGGACACGGTGCTCTCTATTTATCATTGCCACAGCAGGCGCTGAGGTCTTTGCTCCTTCTTGCTGTAGGTGATATGCGGCCAGAACTGCACCTTTGTGATCCAGGCGAACGGGACGGTGCTGGCCTGTGGTGAAGGCAGCTACGGCAGACTGGGGCAGGGCAACTCTGATGACCTGCACGTGTTGACCGTCATCTCAGCCCTGCAAGGTACAGTGGGAGCGCGGCCAGGGGAGGAAATAGAATCATGAGCAAGAAAGAATTTCCAAACATGGGGAAAATGGGATGTTTTGGCACACCTGCAGTTAATCTCGACCTTGCGCCTTTGTGTTTTTTTGTGCATGTGTATTGGAGAGGTGGTGGTGGATTTTTAACGTCATCCAGGTTTCGAAGAGATTGTTCAATTTTCCTGTTGCCCGGATGCTGCAGGAAAATTTCCTCTGCTGTCTTTTCGGTTTTAAGGATCTTTTCTTGCAATTGGTTTGTTATAGTTTCATACTCGAACACATTTTGCCTGGGTTGCTTGAAAAGACTGATACAAGCTGTCCAGTGCCTCGTGCAAATTAGGATGCAAGCAGACTCTTGATCCTCCCAGCTCAGCGAGCTCAGTCTTGCATGATCCCGGGGCAGAAGTGCCCGTGCCCTGTCTTGGTGAGTCCCTCAGCGCAGTGCTCCCACTCTTGCTGTGTGATGTGGTTGGTGGCGGAGTGGTGACTCTGTGGCTCAGGATCTGCGTCTGTGGCTGGAAGGTTGCTGGTTCAAATCCCGCGGCCGGCAGAGGATTCCTACTCCGTTGGGCCCCTGAGCAAGGCCCTTAACCCCAGCTGCTTCAGGGGTGCCGTATAAATGGCTGACCCTGCGCTCTGACCCCAAGCTTCTCTCCCTGTCTGTGTGTCTCATGGAGAGCAAGTCAGGGTATGCGAAAAGACGAATTCCTAATGCAAGTGATATTATCTGATCTTGCAGGGTTCGTGGTGACTCAGCTGGTGACGTCCTGCGGCTCTGATGGTCACTCCATGGCCCTGACGGAGAGCGGGGAGGTGTTCAGCTGGGGGGACGGGGACTACGGCAAGCTGGGACACGGCAACAGCGACCGCCAGCGGCGCCCCAGGCAGATTGAGGCTTTGCAAGGGGAGGAGGTGGTGCAGGTCAGAGTTGAGCGCTGCAGGGCGTCTGTGAGCTTGTGAAAGCCATGTCATGGCCGTCGTCTTTTGGACCAGCCTTGGCCCTGAATCTACTTGTCTACTGTTTCCAACTCAAGGAGGAGCAAGCAGACTGAAATTAAGAAATACCTGCCAGGAAGTAGAAGTAAAACCAAGCCGCTTAGAGTTGCATAGCAAAATTTAACTATTTTATAATATTATTTCACTTGTCAAATCATTACAGCCAAGGGAGAGGTAAAGGTTAATTTCAACTTTGAAGAAGAAGCAACAGAACATTTCAGCTGGTAGAACTTGTTCAGTTGTCAAAAGCATAAAGGTGAAACATTTGAAGAAGGCTAAACAGCTGAACCATTTTTTCTTGTTTCCACCTTTCAGTTTGGAATTAACTTTTACTTGTTCCTTTGCAGCCAACACATGCTGACGTAGCTTCCCTCCCTCCTTAATCCTCACTGGATTAAGATTTTTCTAAAATACGTAATTACAAAGACGCATTGCTTTGTAATGTAGCCAGAGAAACAATTCCGACTTATTCTGCATTAGAATAGTTTTCATGTCCATTACCTGAAAAATGTTTAAGTACAAATGAGATCAGTGTGGTGTTTAATTACTATATGTTTCTTTTGTCGATCTGTGCATTTTAATGTTTGCTGTAATCATGATTCCAGCCACATAAGAAACATAAATGTTTAATTTTTATGGGTGTGACAGAACCTGGCGGTTTTCCTCTTAATTCCAGATGTCTTGCGGATTCAAGCATTCGGCTGTTGTAACTGCGGATGGCAAGCTGTACACTTTTGGAAATGGGGACTATGGTCGATTGGGCCTGGGAAACACCTCCAACAAGAAGCTCCCAGAGAGAGTTACAGCATTAGAAGGCTATCAGGTTGGACAGGTAAGGCACAAAAGTATCAATGTCTCAGATAAGACCATTTTGAACAGGGCTGTGTACATGACATGTAATGTTGAACAGCCATTGAAACAGTGGCTTTGCTGGGAGCGAGAAACGCAATGGAAATATAAACCCTATTTTCAGAAACCTCATCTTTTCGTTCGCTTCTTGTACATCTTCCTACATTTCAATGAACCTGCTCGACTCAAAGCGGGTTCCTTTCCACTGAGACTCGTTTGTAAGCTCTGAATAGTGACATGAGACCGGATTGGTGTTGGATGTTAGGACTGATTTTGAAATTGTTTTTGCCCTTTCTTTCCAAATTCGCTTTGTGTACCGATCAGCACATTAATAACAAATGTCATGGGAATATTATTGCATCGCATAGCTGCTCTTTGCGATAAAGGTTTTACGGTGACTGTCTTCTCAGGTGGCCTGTGGGCTGAACCACACTTTGGCTGTGTCAGCCGATGGAATGATGGTTTGGGCTTTTGGAGATGGGGACTATGGAAAACTTGGCTTAGGAAATTCAACAGCGAAATCATCTCCACAGGTAGAATATGAAAAATTTCTTAGTAAACATGTTGTGTTGAATCAATTTACTGACACAGTCAAAGTGTAATTCTTTCTTGTTGCAGAAAGTGGATGTTCTCTGTGGCATTGGTATCAAAAAGGTATCTTGTGGCACTCAGTTCTCTGTTGCTTTGACAAAGGATGGTCATGTCTACACCTTTGGGCAAGGTACAGTGTCTTCTAAAGAATTTAATTTACATTGTTTTTAACACTGCAAATTGTTTGCTGAGAAGGGGGTAACATGAAATTGAAAGTCTTTGTTACATGTCCGTCTTTAATTTCATGGAAAAACTATATTTTGACAAAAGGCAGCGGATGGGCTGGGAAAACCATGTTTTTAAGAACTCAATTGAAGAGTGTTATTTTCAGCTTTTCTGATGTTTCTTGCACTCTGAAATGTTTATGTTTTTCCATAGCTCTTTTAAAGAACCTGATGGTTTAATCTACAGTTACCTGTACAGTTACCACTCAGTCAAGTGGTGTACAGTTTGTGCTGGATATGAAAGTAGCTGCTTCTGAGTGTACATTGCAATATCATCATCTGAACTGTAGAAATGAACAGTGTCATTCTTCTTAAGAATTGTTAAAAAAGTTTTTTTTGTCTTTGTAAGGCATTTTTAATGTTTGATAAATCTCAAATAGAATAAACAGTGTCTGTCTAATGAATTCTCTGTCTTGCCCTACGTTTAGCATAAGACATTTGACATTCCTGAATGATTACCAAATGTTCTGGTCTTCAGATCGGCTGATTGGCTTACCAGAAGGCAGGGCACGAAACCACAACAGACCTCAGCAAGTCCCTGTGCTGTCGGGCCTCTTTATAGAGGACATAGCAGTGGGGGCAGAGCACACATTAGTGCTCACTTCGACTGGAGACGTGTACGCCTGGGGCAGTAATTCGGAAGGACAGGTGAGTTATTCTCCCTACAGGAGTCTGAGGAGCCTCTCACTGTACACAAGTCTTAACTGGTGCATCAGGTGATGTTTCAGTGGTGAAAGACGTGGTCTTGGCCTGTTTTTGTACAAAGGTTTGTCTGTGGTCAGATTATCTGCCCCTTCCACAAAAGCCTAGATAATGCCTGTTCCATTGAGTTCTCTGTATCCAAAAAGACCCTAAAAATACTTTTTGTGTTCAGTAGTTAATGGCTTCATGGTCAAGAATTTCTGTATTTTACTTTTTTAACAGGACTGTTCATGGTCATATGTATTCTAAAAGGCATGTAGTAAATAATGGTAATGAAGTTGTTTTTTGTTAACTGAGATTGTTTTGCAAACCTAGTGTTTGAAACACGTTTTTGGCACTTTGGTTTTCAAATCTGATGTATTTCCTAACTAAAGAACTACAAGCTGTTCATTACTGTAAAAGCAGAGATTTGATGAGGACTCGATAAAGAAGGGCTATTGTGATTGAAATGGTATAATATCCTGTAATAGCCTTAATGACTCAGCTTTTCATCATAATCAAACAGGTTATGTACCTTAAAAAGGAAAATATCTGCTGGTCCTTCAATTAATAATTGTCCCAGGTCTTTAATAACAAATGAGATCATTAGGAATGTGCAGTGTGCATGAATTTCTTTTGTCACCTCTTAGCAGGTTAAATAAGTCATTTTCTAGCTCAGCAAAAAAAATATTTAACAGCAAAAAGACAAAAAAAATTCATTTCATTTGAGCAGAAGAATACTAGGTTCACTTCTTAACTCTATTTAAGAATATTTCATGCACATTTATGTAGGATATTATTGCAGTCCCCACCAATGAAAGCTGAATTTTAATTTTCTTTACGTTCTAAAAATATCATGAGACCTATAATTATTCAGCATGATGAAGGCTTTCATAATCGTAAGAATGTCATGGAGATGGGTTCATAAGAAGACTATTATTTCAAGACCCAAGTTTTGTAATAACTAATAAATCATAAGACATTTGTAATGATGTTTAAATTATGGTGTGACTTCAGGAAAACAGTATACTATTTCTAGACACTGCTTTGGGACTTATTTTTTTAAAGTACGAGAAGTAGTTTTCTTTATTGGATGTTAAAAGGTCTTCGTAAGCATAAAGTTGAAGGCATGGGGACTTACTTGAATACCGTAAATGTACATACGTTCTTGTAGCCAGATGCACTGTTGTTGTGTGAGCTGTTTGGTATCCTTTTATTTATTCCGGATAACGAGCCAGCTGCCCCAGTCTTATTCTGATTTTTGAATTGCCGTCTTGGTAGCTGGGACTTGGGCACACCAATCACGTCAGGGAGCCCTCTCTGGTGACTGCACTGCAAGGGAAACGCATCCACCAGATCTCCGCTGGCCGCTGTCACAGTGCGGCCTGGACGGCCCCACCTGTCCCACCCCGAGCTCCAGGTAAGCCCTTTTCACTGCCCAGCATGGCTGTACCTGGCAGGGCCATTGCAGTGACTGGTCAGCCTGTTACAGGACGAGGATCAACCTGATCCCACACACATATACCAAATTACCACTTGTGTAAAATGTTGATATGACTGCACAAAACATTTGCAAGCAGATAACCTGGGCCCTCTGCCATAGGAAGTCTCAAGCAAAACAGTTAATATTGAAAGATTTAGATTGCCAGTCTTTTAGAACCCATCAGTTTTTCAAATATACCAGCAGCAGCTTGGGTTTTAAAGTTATGATGTTAAATAGCCTTGGTATGTCTTCAGCTCTGCTCCCTCCTGCTTGCAGGTTCTTCGGTGCCTCTGCAGCTCGGGCTGCCCGTTTCTGTGCCCCCGCAGTACAGCGCCCTGAAGGAAGTCAGTATGGAGACGGTCCGCGCCAGGCTGCGGCTCCTCTACCACTTCTCAGATCTCATGTACTCGTCATGGAGGCTTCTGAACCTCAGCCCCAATAACCAGGTCAGGGTCCCACTGCGAATTCCACCACCCCGGTCTAAGGTAATTCAGGCGTTTCCCCGCTGAAGCTCTGAGGAATAACCATTACGTTAATCAAAGTTCGTTTTTGCCCTTTTAAATGGTCAAATAAAAGTCCCTAGATATCAAAATAAGCCAAAAGTCAGTACTCTGTGGGTAGGGGGGGGGTTAAAATCCATCACTTTTAACAGCTTTTGAAGCTTTTTTGTTATTTGAATCAGCACCTGCCGAACGGCAGCTTTACCTTTGTAGCTGCTGCCGTGGAAAACCGAAGGGATTTGTTTCCGTTTCAGAGCTGTACCTCGCATTACAACGCTGGCACGTGGGGGATAGTCCAAGGGCTGCTGAGGCCCTTGCTTGCACCCCGCGTGTACACCTTGCCCATGGTGCGCTCCATAGGCAAAACCATGGTCCAGGGCAAGAACTATGGCCCACAGATCACTGTCAAGAGGATATCAACCAGGTCAGTTTATTTTGTATTTCTGTATGACCTTGTGGTATAATCAGGCCACGCTGTGGTTTGTCCCTGCAAAGGCGTGTCCTGAGCCTTCTGGTTTCTTTGCTGCCCTTAGAGGGCGGAAGTGCAAGCCCATCTTCGTGCAGATCGCCAGACAGGTGGTGAAGCTGAACGCCTCCGACCTGCGCCTGCCCTCTCGGGCCTGGAAGGTGAAGCTGGTAGGAGAGGGGGCCGACGACGCCGGCGGAGTTTTTGACGACACCATAACAGAAATGTGCCAGGTAATGCTGTTGGTGCCCCCAATGTGGGCCTGTGTCGCATGAATTAGAAAAGCCTTCCCCTGTCAAAGCAAGAACAGCGCAAAATTCTGCTATCTGGCTTCTGGTACAGAAAAGATCTTGTTTTGGTTTCTTGCAGACAGGATCATCTGGCTGTAATATGATCTGGTTAAAAGCCCACTTCAAATTGGACAGTAAATATTTAATTGCCAAATGTTTTGCAAATATAATCCTGCAACTTGCTCAGTAAATGGACATGTAACAAGTACAACAAGACAGAAATGTAATGACAACGTGCACAGTAGCTCATCTGAAGTAGCTTTAAAAAAGCAGATTTTCACCCTAATCCATTTCAGACCTCTGCCGACAGAATATATGCTGCGTGGCTCAAAATGACTTCTGATCCCAAACTTTCTCATTTCAAGCTCTGATGAAGCACGATCACATTCAAATGAAATACAGGTTTTGCAGCTGATTTGAGTTTTTTTTCACTTTGTTAAGGAACTTGAGACAGGAATTGTAGACCTCCTCATTCCTTCCCCAAATGCCACTGCTGAAGTGGGATATAACAGAGACAGGTAAGACATTTCGATGCACAAAAATTAATCATCACCTAATGTGCAACTAGAATGTAAGAGTATTCCCTTTATAGTTTGTGACTTAAGGGAACTAACAGACACGTCAAAGTCCACAAAGAATTTTGGTTTGTAATTAACATTGCCTTTAAGTGGTATACTGTCAAGTTGTAATTTAAACAACACTGGTTGCATAACTCTCGCAGATTAAACAGGTGTGGTTAGAATCTAGGACTGCATACTTGTCCCATGTACTTTGATCATCACAATGACAGATTCTCAATGTTTGGTGTGTTGCTGTGTAATCCTTTTCAAAATCGTTTTGATAGTCTGTGCTGATTTAACACAGGCAAAATCCAGGATTAAAACCAATTTAAAGTGAGGGAAAATTGTTTCCTTCATTTTAATTGTAAAATTTACATTTAGTCGAAAATGTGCTTCTGCTGTTGAAGACATTAAATGTCTGAAGTAAGTTACCACTCAGTATTACGTGTTAAGCCATTACTATGATTAGTGATGTCTTTTGCCGTTATTAATCTACAGACTTGCATACAGCTAATTACCTGCTGGCAGTAACCTAGAATGGTATGACAGCTCTTTTCTGATGGCTCTTGCCTATTGAAACTGGTGCATGACCTACTTTTATACTTCCTATGTGTGCTGTAATATTTTATCTTCCAGTGAGGTGATAATTTTATTGCCTTACCTAAACCAGCTATTGTAGCATGCATTGCGTATCAGACAGCGATGGAGAAGCTCAATGAGAAAGTAATAGTATCTGTCTTCTTTCATTCTCAGATTCTTGTTCAACCCTTCTGCATGCTTAGATGAACACCTTATGCAGTTCAAGTTCCTCGGCATCTTAATGGGTGTTGCCATTCGCACCAAAAAGCCTTTGGACCTACACCTGGCCCCCATGGTCTGGAAGCAACTCTGCTGTGTCCCACTCATTCTGGAAGACCTGGAAGAAGTGGATCTGCTCTATGTCCAGACTCTGAACAGCATTCTTCACATTGAAGACAGTGGGATTACAGAGGAAAATTTCCATGATGTAAGGACTGCTGATTTAGGAGTTCTCTTTTTTAGTCTCGACTAGCCCTGTCAGGTTTTAGAAGACTGTAATAAAGTTGTAAAAGCTCTCATGAACATAGTTGCGTAACCACATACAGTAAATGTATTGACATACCACATTCTGGCCTGATGCAAAAGCCGTCCCATTGTTGGGCTGAAAGTCACAGGATAAAGTCTGCCATGTGGTGTTTAGGGTGTTGAGGAGGAGTTGGAATTTAATTACATTTTTCACGTTTAGTTTATATTCTTTCCATATTTGCAAACTGTATTGTTTCTACAAAAGCAAAAGCCAAGTCCTGCCTAAGAGTTTCTTTGTCTAAGCTGGTGTAATTTGGTACTGGTCTTGTGATGTAATATAGTGCCGTTAATCTACATTATATTGTTATTGTGTCTACATTTTTTGTGCATTTTTTAATTCCTTCTCTACAGAGGAAGTGCAGCACTATAACTCAGAATCCATGGGATTGCTTTTGAGGGATACTACAGATACAGTTCACCTCTTTTTCTTTAGTGCTCTCTGTTACCTTTCTCTTTCAGATATAGGACTACATATAGTAAGAAAGGTGTTTCTCTTTGATTTGAAGCCAAACATTGCTAGAAATGAAATGCATTGCCCCTCGAAACCATTGGTGTGGAACTTGCTTAGTAATGCTATGTGAGTGATAGTCACTGGGAGCCACACGTGAGTTATAATGTGAATGATCTCGGTGAAAAACTCAGCAATGTGGTTGATGCAGTACACAATGGCTACTGATAATGGCAAGTAATCACTGGTTGGTTTAATTATTACAGAAAAGGTTTGTATGAGTAAAAATTTGATTTCTCTATATAGATTTGTACTGCTTAGGTATTCACTCATTAGTAAAAGTATAAAACCTTCAATTCCAATCAAATTACTCAGAAGCTTCTATCAGAATCTTAAGGGACTATTCCTCAGGGAATCAGCTGTTACAAACATAATGTTGTTAGTGCATATTAAAATTTCTGTCCTGCAATTTGCATTACAGATGATTCCTCTGGATTCCTTTGTTGGCCAGAGTGCAGATGGTAAAATGGTCCCCATAATTCCAGGGGGAAACAGCATCCCTCTCACGTTTTCCAACAGGAAGGAATATGTGGACCGGGCAATTGAGTACAGACTGCATGAAATGGATCGCCAAGTAAGGGCTTTCTCTGTTTCCCATTCAAAACAAGGTCTACCATTTTTTTAAAAAATTGCAAGTACAGTAATCTTTTCTTATAAAAAACAAAAACCCTTAATATCTTATGACACTAGATTTCAAATTGGTTCCCTTCCGTTGCTTCAGTCCAGTACTTTACAATGGCATTGAGTTAGGAGATGAGGATCTTAATTTCAAATTAATAAAATTAAAGAATTTGAAGGCTTACATACACTATGCCTTTGAGCAGTTTCATTTCTTGGTGCGTTTGCACTCTCTATAAATTTCTCATTTTGAATGCTCTTTGCAACACATCTCGGCAAAATTAAATCTCCTGCTTCTGTTTGTAACTGGTTTAAAAAAATCAATCTCAAATGTTGCCAGTTTTTTACGTCTAAAATGTAATGAGTGGTTTTGCTTGTTTGGACGTGAAGAAAGGGTTTGGATGTGCACCGAGACCTTTGTGCAAATCAGATTCATTTATTTAGATTCCAAGGTTTTGGGTAACTGCTACGAGACATTGTTTTAAAGGATCACGTTTTGGTTCTGCGTGCACTGTTTCCCTGTGCTTTGCTTTCGTAATTGCCATGCGTTGTCTTGCACGTAGGTTGCCGCAGTGCGGGAAGGCATGTCCTGGATCATTCCTGTGCCCCTGCTGTCTCTCCTGACTGCCAAGCAGCTGGAGCAGATGGTGTGCGGCATGCCCGAGATCTCTGTGGAAGTGCTGAAGAAGGTGGTACGGTACCGGGAGGTGGACGAGCAGCACCAGCTGGTGCAGTGGTTTTGGCAAACCTTGGAGGAGTTCTCCAACGAGGAGCGGGTCCTGTTCATGCGCTTCGTCTCCGGAAGGTCCCGGTTACCAGCCAACACCGCGGATATCTCCCAGAGGTTTCAGATCATGAAGGTTGACAGGGTAGGTCATCTGATTTTGAGTTTTCTGAAAAATATATTCATAGGGTCACAGAGATGAGGACAGTTTTCAGAAACTGTTTAAGAAACAAATTGGGTCTCTTGAGCGGTTCTACCAGTAAAGGCAAAGAGCCTCCTGTACAGAACTGTTTGCCTGCGACATGTTGCAAGAGGCTCAATGGAGGAGCTGGGTCAGAGGAGTCAGCCTACACTTCATGATTCTCCCCCGTGTTCGGTTGCTGGGTTTGTAGCTGTGAGCCAAGATGAGAAAAACATGTATTTGACTGATCCGCATCTGGTGGGATAAGTAACAGTATTTTTAATTTTGTATTTTGTAATGTGTTATTTTGTAACACATTAAGATTTTTAAGCCATATATGAACCTGTAGATTCTGACAGAAATCTTGACATTCTGATGCAATCTCAGTGAAGTACCTTGATGGAGGAGACAAAAGCAATGCTCCACCTGGGAACCTGCTCACCGGACATCCAACACAATGGATGTATGATACAGCGCATGCTGATTAAACCTAAATGATATATGAAGAAAGATATGGCGGTGATGTTTTAAATCATTTCCACATGGTGTTAGCAGTTTTATTAGCATTAGCACCATTTATGGATTGTCTTAATGGTTTTGTCTTTTTCTTTATTTAGCTATAGTTATCTCCAAGACATTCATAAGTAGTGTTTTGCTGAGCATTAATGGGGAGCACGACCAAAAAAGCTAAAAAAAAAAATATTGGATGTTTCTTAACCCTGTATTTTGCTTCTACAATGACGAGGACAAGGCTGTACAAGTCAGGGCAGTTCGCAATAATGGGTCTTCATGGGCCTAAAACTGCCATCTGTTCTGAAGGAATAGAAATGGAAACATTTGCAGTCATTTCTCTCGAGGCTGCAATGCAATGGGCAGTTAGCCTTTAGAAAACCTGCACTATACAACTAGATGAGAAACGCTATTCTTCATGGACGCGTCTTATTTTTGTATTTCCGAACAGCCCTATGACAGCTTGCCGACGTCCCAGACATGCTTCTTTCAGCTCCGCCTTCCACCATACTCCAGCCAGCCCGTCATGGCCGAGCGCCTGCGCTACGCCATCAACAACTGTCGATCCATTGACATGGACAATTACATGCTTTCCCGCAACGTGGACAACACAGAGGGCTCCGACACAGACTACTGAGACAAAAATCCAATCAGGTCACATGGACACAAGGGTTTATGTAGCAGGAAGAATATTGAAACAAGATGTATCACTTAAGTAGAAATCCTAGATTAAAATCTCTTATGAAGCTGGCCACGTTTTAAATATTTGGTGTTCTTGCAAACGTAATCGATTTTTTTATTTCTCCTTGTGGTTTATTAGCATTTAAAACAATCAACAGGAGCAGTGCATTAAGTGTTTTTTCTTCATTCTTTTTTCAGGGCTCTTTTTTTTACGTTTGCATGGAAATACATGGTTTAACTTTTGTTGGGAAATATGTATAAATGAACCTGCCCAATGGTAAAAAAACAAAACAAATTGTACATTGTGTATAATTTTTCATTAGGGAGAAGCGTTTTACATAAATATTCATATTTATTTTGTTTTAATTTTGAATTGCCTGTGCCGAGTTTCTTCAAGCAGAAAAAAAAAATCAATAAATGCTTAAGTAATATTTTATTTTTTCCTAGTTTTCATGATGTAATACTGAGGATGGTCATTTTGGAATTGGAATATAAAACAGAACTCCTACTGCTGAAATGACAGAAAAATTAAAACAATGTATAACCAAAGAATTAACTTCCATTTGAGACAATCCTATTGAAATGAAATATTGGGTAAATGCACTGATAAGATGCTGAAAGCTCTGATTTAGGAACAAGAACACCAATAAAATAACCATTTTCAATTCAGTTCAGAAATATAATACACTCTTTCACATCAACAAATATAACCACATTTATTTTGAAAGTATAAAATGTCACACTATAAAGGCCACTTTGTAGTGTAAATTAACAACCTGGAACATTGTTCAAAGTATTTACACGTAGTAATACCTTTCCCCATTTGGTGGTTTTAGTGTATACATTGTTCAGCCTGTACTGACTTAAATGTTTATTACACTTGACCACAGAATACAGTTGGCAGAGTTTTAATAATTTACTTGCAATACAGAAAATGGCAAGAGCTCAAAGATTCCTGGATTGGTGTGTCTTTTGGAGACGGGTACTCGAAGGTGATCTTTCTTCACAAAACCACTTACAGGCAAAGGTTAACATCAGATGTACAGGCACTATTGGCCTGGACCAACTTTCAATATCTGTAGTTCACATTCTTCATAATGGCACCAGTCAGGGTTTAAAACACCTCATCTGTATCTTTGTGTGTACAAACACTGGCTTATGCCCACCCATCCTAACCCCAGATAGTTTGGCTCATGACAACTCAACTTAAGAGGGTCTTTTTTAACCTCTGACATGGTATCAGCTTGAGGTAGCAGTGTTGTATCAAAATTAATCTAAATTCTAATATGAAGTAACAGTCACATCATTAATGCTTCTGAGAGCTGAAATTACAAACAAAAAAATGCTGCTTGCACACAATCACAACTCAAATCTATCTGGACAATGACTCATTCTTCTTTTTTACCGAGACATCTTAAAGTGTTCCTAAAACACTCTTTACTCATACATTCCATTCCCTTATAAAAGTAATGGCTGTGTCTTACAAATACTCATCCTAGCCCCAACTAATCCCCTGCAATGAGTCTTTGTTCTTAAAAAATGGAAGCTGTTTATATGGAAGTTCCAGAGGAATGACAACAACCAAGCCACTTTCATCTTACCTGTTCTACATCAATAATTCCTTAATTGATTGTTTTTAAAGCTCCATCTATATGTATGCAAAAATCTCTTTCACATTTTCTCCCCCTCTGCTAGCCCATCTCTACCATTGCAGCTGCCCCTAGGTCCCAGCCTCCTTGTCCAACAGGCAGGAGGCTGGGCCTCAGCCAAGCAGGTTAAGCCAAGTTGCACTCTACCTAATTATCAATAGACCTCAAACATCTCATTCTTGGGTGTCATTCCTCATGCAGTCAGCTTCTTATAGAGAAATGCTGATCAGAAAGGTAGTCTTTGGACAAACAACACTTGTCAAAACCAAAAAATGCAAAGTATTCTCAAGAATGTAGAAATTTTTTCACTACTTAATCTCCTTTCTCTTAACCAAACACTCTTTCATCCCAGCAAATTTCAGGTGAATTAAAGATATAAGGTATAATTATAGACTTCTACTACTTCACAGACTCTTTACAGTGAATAATATATTTAGCAACATGTATCACTAATTCGGGGAGTAACTCTTGGCGATGGAAGGTGTCAATACGTACGCCTATGACTGCACAAATAAGGCGGTTTATCAAAATAAACGCAGCTGACTAAACCTCGGCGTGGGTAAAAAAGTACGGCTCACATTACGACAGATTTACTTTACTTTCGCCACCACCCTCTGTCCCCAGACCTCGATGTCCTCCGGAGCCAATACACAAGGCCTACGTTCTCTGGTTTGAAGGTTGGAATGGGTTTGCGGTCGCCAGCGTTCAAACCGAACCGATGTCTCGTGTCCTTCCGGCTGTAACTCTAACTTACAGGGGGGCGGGGGTGATGACAGAACCACTGTCCCTCCCCAAAAAGACCAGAGCGATTTCCTATACTAAGAGCAGCCCGTTTCCTTCGCGGACCCTGTCCCTTTATGGCTGATGATGCTCTCCGTAGCTTTCAGCAGTCTTTCCAAACAGGGGGCGTTGATCTTCCCCGGCGGCGGGCGGCGGCCGTCGGTGCTGGAGGAGACCGCGTTGTCCTGCGTGACGTCGCTCTCCCTGGCCGCGGCCCGGTGGCCGAGTCTCCCCAGCGCATGCTCCACAGAGGGGGTGCAGATGGGGGAGGTGTGCAGCCACTTTAAGTTTGTGGATGAAGTAGTGCCGGATGGAGGCAGTTCAATATTTCTGTGGGCTTTGTGGCTCGGAGGAAGAACACAAGAAGACGTGGGGCTGGCCTTTGGAGCATTCCGGGTCATCCCGGAGGGAGACATCTAGAAGGAAAAAACTGTTTTAATGATTGTGATTTTTTTTTTCCCCAATTTACAATTGAAAAGCCAGTCCTTATAGTAAATTAGCCATTTCAGACCTACTCTCACTTTGCTTTCAAAATACAGTATGTCAACTGGATTTATATGGGAGCTTTTCTATTCAAGTTTCTGACCAAAAAGAGAAGGATGCTCATAAGTTTGAGGTACTTTTTAAAAAAAAAAAAGATAAGGAACAATGAATGGAAATTTAGTGGAGGCACAGTGAAGAATACATATTGTAGAACAATCTAGTTTTTAGGGTTGAAATGGCTTCTCCAGTGGATAAGTGACTTTGCAATGAAATTGCTAGTGGTCTAAATGGACAGTGAACTCCTCACTGTGTCCGGTGCCACTTCCAACAGAAATCAATACGGCCATCTAGGAATCTCGACTGCTCACAATTACCTCTGAGGTGTGTCAGCGAGGCGGTGTCAAGGGAAATCATATAATTGAACTTTTTTACAAAGCAGAGATCTTCTATGAAATATTTTAACTTGAAAATGAAACGAAGCCCCTGCTCTAAAGGTTGTGGAATACGTCCTGCATACAAACCAAACATTCCTTACACTTTCGGTATTAAAAGTGGGTTTTTACATCAAGGAAGCTCTTACCAAATGTCCTTTTCTGCATGAAAAGCCACAGCATAATAACGTGCACAAAAACATACCTTCAGCTTCTTTGAGGGAGGGGTGTCCTGGGTCTCCTCATCAAGGCGTTGGTCACTGGGTTTCACATGAGGGAACCAATTCTTCAGCATCACCTCAACCTGCAGAATGATGTTGATGTATCGTTCGCTGCAAGTTAAGAGCAAAGTGTTTTAGAAAGTGCAACACACCGAGAAGACACATCATGGTCATTTAATATTGATCACAACTATTTTTCTGACCACAATATGAAACACAAAAAAAAAGACCATTGAGAACATACCCTGTGTGGTCTAGCCAGAACAATATGGATTTGGGGCTAATAATAATGAAATAAAATCCTTTATTCAATAAATCTACTTCAGCACATATCAATGTGGCCTGTCTAAAGGTTTCTTAAGAGATTAAGACGTCGTACATATCCAGTCTTAACATTTTAGAGGGGAGGAATTGTCAAAAAAAATCCTTCGCGAGTTTACTCATAATACAACATACATGTCAAACAGTGATAGGTCAGCTAAGAAGGTCTCAAAATATGCCTTAACGCTGTGCCAAAAGGGTCACCAGAGCTTTAAGTGAATAGTTATAATAACGCAAGGCAGCCTTCCAGAAACTCATTAAGGTAGGATCTCAGGACCAAGTTATCTGCAGTCCTTATTAATTCCAATTACTCTAAGACAGATGGTTAATTGGAATTAGGAAGCATCACATGGCTAGAAGCCACCGGCTGTGCTCCCAGCATGTGCTGAATTTCTGCGATAGATTATCCAGAACAATAACTGCTCAGAAAGACAATTGTATTCCCTCCACAGTTTCACTCCTCCAGGCTGTTACCTATTTTTATTTCACTTGTGGGAATGTGACAATGATAGTAACAACCCAGCCTGATAATTCATGGGGGGAGCAGATATTTCCCTCTTTCGTCTTCGTCTTGCATGTGAAGTGGGCAGCTGGGAATCCAGGAATCTACATTAGCATGGCTTCTGTCATGGAAGCACTAAATTTATACCCCATCCACAAGTGAGGAGGTACTCAAGCATTGCCGAACAAGAAAAAGGAAGGTCCTCCTTTAGGTATTCAGATTGCACGTAATTGATTGCATTTAATAAATGGTTTTACAGCACCAAATCTTCTGCAGCTCAAAAGGTCCAGCACTTTTCTCCAATGACTGTTATTTTATAGGAAAACCAGTTTAGATCAGAAACTGATTTTTCAATAACATGCTTAATCTTATATGCCTTTCCTTTTTTCAAAATCATCAAAAACCCAGCAACTGCAAATGAGGTTATTTCAATAAGCTCACTGTAATTCTCATGCTACCTCACCACTCTCCTTTGACATTTTTGCCTGAAGGAAAATCACAGGCATCTTACTGCTGCCTCGAAGCACTACATTTAACATTCCTTGTGGCAAGTGAAGCAATCATTTTCCTAATGAACTAAATGTACTGAAAACTCCAAGACGCTATTCTGTGAAGGTGTGGGAAATCAGACACGCGTTCAAGCAACTGAAAGCTTAAAATCTAGAATAGTCACACTGCTGTACTCCCTGGGAGTTCTGATGGTCACTGTGATGCTATCCTATACGTTCAAATGACATCATTATAGAGAATCTACAGAACAGAGGAGCCACAGTGTGATTAACCCCATTGGCTGTTGTCCGTAGGGTGGATTTGACTGGCTGGGTAAGCAGTCACACCTAGAGAGAACATTAGAAAACCAGTGAATGTAATTACCCCATGCATGGGTTCTGCAGAACACCCATTATTCTCTGGATTCTGTCCATGGCAACACTCTCTTGGAAACTGCTTAGTCCTAAAAAAAAACAAAATACAAATTATTGTGACTAAATCCAGCAGTGAAGTGGAATGGGTTAATGCAGATTAATATAAAATCACTGCTGTGAAAATGTGTGCACAATGAACAATATAAATTGGAAACATGCAACGTGCATTTTACTCCCATAATACATTTTCATATTGTCTGAGAGTTTGTCAGTAACTGTAATGCTTTTAATGGGACTGGTAACTTGTTAAACTTTGTTTTTAGAGGCTGCTGGAAAGATTTTGAAGTTCAAATTCCTTCTGCCCTTTTGTTCCTGTCACTGCCTGTTACTGTAGAATGATGCAAAGTTTTGTTACAGAAATGGAAATGAACTCTTCAACCTGCTCTTCACGTCTTGAACCAACACAAAAAACCCCAAACAATTGGCGTTACTCATCTAGAGGGTCAACTGCTCTCAGTCATTGTGGAAACTCAACATTGTTTCAACAATGTACCATGAGAGTAACTCTATATAAAATCCAGGCTATTATAATAAAGCATGGAATTATGCCTTATATTCACGGGTTTTTGTGCCAAAGGTATGCGTCTCATGGAGACTGAAGCAATGTCTATGTTCACCCACCTTTCTCACTAAGAGAATAAATATTTAAATTTTGCAAATGTAAAACAGCCAGAACTTATTTTACATTTATATCTACTCATAAGTCTGTGGGATGTAACAGGATGTTTCCGACTGATTCTACTGGAAAAAAAGAAAATGACTGAAAACTTCATGAAAATGACGAATACAACAAGAAAGGAAATCTGCAATGTGAAAAAGCACAAGCTGGCTCTACACATACAGTGCTCTGCAAAGGACTTTGACACCTAAGACATAATCAGGAGTTACAGCACACGTAGTTATCAGAGCATCAGAGATCTACTTGGAGCCTGCACTGGTGTTTACGCATATTTAATTTTATTTAACAATTTAGACTGTTACAATCGAACTGGGTTTCTTGTTGCCCAGACTAAGATGCGTCACTTTACAATCTTAAATTCACATTTATTAGAATCTTCAAAAATGTGAACAAAACAACTTAAGGCACGACTACACAAGAGCAGCCAGTACGAAGGGTTATAGTAGCTAAACCATCACATTTACCAGTTGATTCACTGTCAGGTAGTTTGTCATTCATATTTTTCCCTCTCTATACACCACAAAGCTACTGTACTATAAAATATAGATCCATCAGGACTGTTACAGAAGAGACAACTGGCTAAAACTTCACACATCAAATGCATTTCTACTTAACGAAGGAAAAACACTGAGTGATCAGTGCAAAACATGGCCAATTGTCATTGGTCACAGCCTGATGAAGCAGAATGGTGTTTACCAGTAATTTTATCATTGCAAATGCATTCATTCTGCTTGGTTAATTTTACATTTTCAGGAAACATGGAGCTAACATGAAAATTTGAACTGCATCAAATGTATTATTTACAAGTTACAAGTCATTGAACACAACATGTCCTTGACGTGAGGTCCTTTCACAAGCTATGCATCGGTCTTTCAGACTTTTCCAGTTGTGCAGGAAATTATTAATCAGACAGGAAGAGGAAGTCTTGGTAATTACTGCTGTTCTAGTCTGGGGCTGGTAGTAAGAGCACAGTACAAACAAGATGATAAATGTAAGCAAGCAATAATATGAGGGTATATATCTAAGACTGGAAATATCTATGGTATTTAATGTCATTTTACCATATGAAAAGAGTTCATATGGCAATATTGTGTAATTTTCTATACAGAACTACCACAATGAAATGAGAACACAATCTGAACTCTAAAAATATTCCAGTCTGATGCAGGCTGCACGCTTTTCTATCCCAAGAACCCGACAGCTGACCAGCTCTACTGCAAAGCTGCTTTTCCTTTAAATAACTAAATGGGAAAATGAGGCACACAATTTATACTACCCCCAAAGCCCTCAGTTTAATACCATATTTTAATGAATTATGGTAACCTACTAGTGCATCTGAAGGTTGCAGAAAGAAAATGGGACAATACATTTATCTTGGTTAATTCACTTACGCTGTCTGTATCTCCCAGATCGCAAGCCATTCAAGATTGAAGACAGTGGGTGAATGTAGCACTGCAGCTCCATACACTGGAAGAGGAGAACACATCCAAGTCAGGATATTTTCACTGTACATTTTATCCTTTAAATCTCCTTATAGAAGTCTGCTTGTTAAACAATCTTGCATTATGAATTTGATCTTTAAGATGAACTGTAGATGTGTATTTTAAATTTTGGAAAATAAAAACACACTAGCGCATGATAATCAAATAGTAAACATTTTCTTGCTTTGTTATAAATATACCAAAATTAGGAAAAAATACTACAAATAAGAAACAGCCATTTATATTTTTGGTTTACTAAGAAATGTCAAGTTCTGTTATTTATTTAACTTTGAGCAATCTTAATTTGTTAACTTTTAACTTCTATTCATGGTTGGAAGGTCCATTCATGGTCCTTACAACCCAACAAGCTTAATAAGGGAATCAAGCATGATGATCCAATTTCAAAATGTCTTCCCTGTTTTAGAAAGGTATCTAGAGAGAATTTTCCAACTAGGAAGATAAATATTTTAACTGGCAGCATCCAATACTTCAACAAATTCATGTACACATTATAAAAAAGACAGTAACATAACATTTACAATAATGTGCACCGAAAACACATGCTTCCAATAACCACCAATGTGACCTTTTGACCTAAATGTCAATGTCTTACATGACTTGCATCAGTTTCTAAGACTTGTATAGATCTTCTATTCCTAACCAGCCAGAGAAATAATAAGGGCAAAATACTGAATCACACCTTGCTTAATATTGTTAACAGAACTGTAGGAAACTCCACAGTTATCTCTAAAACATACAGATTTTTAGATAGAAAAAGCTGGTTGATATCTTGGGAAACATACTCTAAAGTCCAGAATTTCCATAAAGAAAACAACCAGCAGGCAAAGGTTTTGTATTACTCAACACCAAACCCAGATTGCTTAACCCAAGGGTCTTCCTGTGACACAAGAGATATAAGCAGCACATTCTATGATCATAGAGTGACAACGTATTGCAAAACAGAATCATCTAAGCTTGAGTAACTATTTCTTAAACAGTCTAGATACTCTGAAGGCCTCTGACTCCTTACATCTATACAGGCTGTGTGTATCTAGAAATGTCCTGTTTGTTCCAATTATTTTTATGTTATTAATCTTGTATCATATATATTAATCAAAACGTCCGTTATGTACAATATAAAATCAACAGATTTTTTTGGTATTGCAGGAGTTACTTAAAAACAGCTTTTCTGCTGTGAACTGTCAGAAATGGAAATCTTTTCATTTTAATGGCTTACACCTTGTTTAAATATTAAATGGCTAATACATCCACAACCCAATTTGAGATTCCGATCTTAATTAAAATCTTCAGCTGTGACCAAAAAATTAACTATTTTGAATTTATGATGATTGGGGAAGGCTAGAAGGCAGTGAGTATGGAGACATGGGTCTGTTATACCGACAAACCAGAGAGGGGCTCCAATGACTCTCCAAGTCAATCTCCTCAAAAAACCCTTAGGGTTTTCTGGACTAAAGGTCTCACTAAAGATCAGATCCTTTATCTAAGAGATGGAAATGCTATTTTACCAATTACAAATCAGACCAAAATTTTACATTAATCCAGGAAAACAAAAACTGAAAAAACTAATTCTGCTCTATATATGTGAAACATCAAGGAATTAATGGATATTTATTCTCATCATTAGTGTGGACTGGACCGACAACTGGATGAAATTAAAGTCCAGTTCTGCACTTGAAATGGTGATATTTTCCATACTAGTTGTGAAGTGTGGCTTCCACAGTAAAAGACAGAATGAATTGTTCCATTTTAAAACCAGTTCAAAACAGTCAAACCAGGTCATGCAATTTTAAGGTTTAAGAAAAAACAACAACGGGCATTTTAACTAATTCTTTCTGAGACAAGCACGCTTCCTTTCTCAAATCAACTACTCCAAGGTACTTTTCTGAAAGCAAGGGCACTACGAATTCCCCTCGAGGGAAAGATACGCTCACGCTTGACGAATTAGCACCTGACCTGAAAAAAAGGTGAGAAAGGGGGGCTGTCGGGTTGTCAGTTCTGTCACTTTTGTTTTGCCTCTCACGGGTTATTTTCCTGTACTGAACCCAAAAGCCAGTCTCTAAAGCTCACCTTGTGAGCAAACATCCTGTCCTGTTCTGACCCGCTGGCCCGGCCACCTTCCCTGTGCTCCGGGTCCCTCAAGCTCCTGTCCCTCTTCCTGTCCGGAGAGCGCTCGGTCCGCCCCAGCGATGGGCAGGACGAAGAGGAGGCCCCCTCCTGCTCTCCCTGGAGGGGCTCCATGTGTTTTCTCCTGTCCCAGGACCTGTCGCGCCTGCGCGGGGCTCCAGCCGGGGCGTAGACCTGGTCACTATCCGCACACGTGGGCACGCTGCCCTTGTCCAGGCCACAGCCGCGCCTGCTCTCCGATGGGGCGCAGTTTGAGTGTGGGGCACAAGGCTCCCGAGTGTCCCCGGCGTGGCACAGATGCTGACGAGGTAAGGGCAATGTCCTCCCTGAATTGGCCCGGTCACAATCGGATTCAAACACGCTGTCACTATCATCGTCGCTGGCCAACCAGTCTATGGAGCAGTCAGAATCTGAAGCAGACATCATCAGCCAGAGGGCCTATCCGCCAGTACTCATCACTGACCTAGAAAGACAAAGGCGTGTTATTTCAACGGCTCTGCTGAGGATCTACCTCGTTCATTCATCCAGTGTGCCCTGTTGCAGCTTGCAAAATGTGTTGGCCTGGCAGCATGGAATATATACCAGAAACACAAACCTCAACATTCCCGGTACCTTTTGTTTGGGTTCCTGTCCCTCTACGTATTGGATCAAGAGTCCAGAAGAAGACCATCAGTCCATTCAACAATCAGCTGAATTAACAGTGGTGAGAGTCATTTTTAATTACTGCAGTATCTGGCGTCATGTTTAGATGCTGTGGTTTGTTCCATGCCTTAAGCAGGTTTTTTTGCATAGATGCACCTACTAATTTACAACTGCTAAATGAAGAAGGGCTCTGCCAAGCAGGAAGATATGAACATGTGCCCCCTGGTAGCACCATATTCCAGCTCTGCTTCCATACAAGACAGATTTAGAGAGATAAGTGGGCTTTTCTGAGCTCATCAACAATGGAACAGGACATCATCTCAGCTTTCCCACCTGTTAATGACATTAATAATTTATCCACGGTTTCCAGCAGAAATGGCCAGTAATAAGAAAAAGTATCAGGAATGATACTTAACATGAAAACATGGCTCATTTAAAAATTAGGCCTTAAATTAGGTCACAAAGCAACCCTAAAATAATAAGGTCTCGTTATTGTAGGCTAAAGTACCGTACGTGAGATTCATTTCAATATTAACTATAATGCAGCCAAATTCTGCCCCTGTTGGAAGCACCTTTTTAGGAAGCATTATGAGCTAACACATTAACAAAAATAGTGTACGACAAACTCAACTGTTTCAGCACTGGAGGAAGCATGATTTTTGGTTTATTTTATAACTGAGGCTTTGCAGCACTCCACGTTGCAGAAGACAAAATGAAACAAAGGCTTCACTGAGGTATGAAACCACAGGTGAACACTGAGGTAAATTTACCCATTAACCGTTAACGGGCTAAGCAAGTTAGCTTAGCTAGATCATCATAATATCTTTTTCTTTGGGATCAGAGAGGCAGCTCCTACCCTGGGTAACATATGCTAGCTGTACTGTTAATCAATTTCCATTTTAATGAATGAATCCAAATCTTAAGGCAAGATATGACACAGTTTGTAGGCAAACTAACTCACATTCCATGCTGAAGAATGATTAAAGGTTTCAGTAAACTACAACACAAACATGCAGGAAAACTGCTAAAATGGGGGAGTTTCAAAGAGCCAGTTTTTAGGCGTTTGTTCAAGAATCGTGCAATGGTCACCACTTCAAACATTAAGCAGAAAGAATACTAAATATGGTGCCTTCCTTAATCTTAAAGACATCAAAAAAACCTGAAAAACTGAAAGCATCTTCATTCTTTAGCATACAGGCTGACCATAAAATGAAATGGAGTAGAATTAAAATAAAAAGTAAAAACAAATAACCCAGGGTCACACACGAAGACTTTTAAAAGAGCCTTATAAATCCACAAAACTTTGCCAAAATTTCACCAAACAAACCAAAAAAAGAAAAATCTACAAATAAAAATGTATCATAAATGAAGTGTTTCCTGCACTTCTACATAACATTCCTTCCATATATAAACAGTTTGAAACAGCATCATCTTAATTTAACACAATTAAAATCGTCCAACTATCAACCATCAAAATCTAGAAAAGGTATTTTTTTACATTCGTGTCCATTTCATCTTTCAATTTATTAACTTTGAACAGGCTAACTGGCAACGAATGTGCAACACTATTTATTTTTGTTATACTGTAAGTACATTCCAGTTACAGGTCTTTAAAGGCTTCAATGAAAATAAGTCTTTACAGGTTAATCCTCCCTGTTTAAGGAGACCGCTGATCTGAGCCCTGGGATACCGTTATGTAACAACAGCATAGTAAACAAACCATTAATGGTTACATGCTTTTACGAAAACAAACACCTGGATTAAAGGAAACGTCTTAAAAATGTATCAAGATAACCAGTATAAACCGCAGAATTACAAGATCTCGTTGGTAAATCTTCCATGCAGGAGAGATTCATTTAACGTGAACTGCGCAAACCTTACATCTACAGGTTTAGGGGAGATGTTTCACAAATGCGAAATGAACAACCTCCCCTGGCACCTGCTTCTCCTGACGATCAGGGTATTTGCGAGTATCCACAATCGTGCCTGTTGGTCTCGGCCATCTCCTCATCCCCAAACCCTCATAAAGGAATGCATGATTCAATAACGGAAATTACTCCATTTAAAAAGCCCAAACGGAAGCTCGACAGAAAACCGTACAACGCTAGCAAACTCGAACACAGACGTTAATTGAAGCATTCACTGAAAATCGGCCGTCTTTATAAATGGGCATCACTGCTTATTGAAGAAATTGTAATATTCATTTGAATATACCGTATGCACGTTTAACTTAACCCAACAACACTGGACATTTTTCAAAGAGTTCCATAATCATGTCGCATTATTTTCTATTGATATAATACTTAACCTTTACTTGCTAGAATAGTTGTAATTATTATTGTTTTAAATAAATTGTAGGACCAGCGTTTCCATCCCAATTCCATCGGTGCATGAGACTTTAAAACAATTTTAAAAAGAAAGGCGCCGTACAGTTAATTTATTCACACCACAATTCAAAGGTTTTGGAAGTTTATAAACGTATAGCGTTTCTCTGCAAATTCCTTCGGTCGAATCTTTCAGACGACCATACCCTCCCTGCCCGCACACTGCACATTTTAGCTCGTCTGCATAACGTGATGGTTTGTCTCTTAAGGTGATACCAATAAACTCAAAGACAAGACTTTATTCACAGCTGGCACCACAGGGGTTGTAATTTGGCATAAAAACAGCCAAACTACAGCAGAACGAGAACCGTGCAGAATGAGGTAAGAGACGGACCCGCCACATTTTCCAGCAAACACAAACGACCTCATCCGTCACGGGAGTCGAGACTTCGGCTAGTGCAAATATTTAAAGATTAAACCGGGGTTGCGTCGTGAGGAAAACTGCAAAACGGAATAACCACAGCACGTGTGCGCCAGGTGTAAAAACTGTCCGACCTAGCATAATAGTAATGGTCAGATGAAAAGTTTAATTCAATCACAGGGCCCTTATTTTTATTTTACCCTAACACCCCGATGATGTCAATCAAATAAAAGATGCGGAAACAAAAGTAATGCACTTGTTTTCCAACTAGCTACAGATTAGGCACTGAAACATTGCTATTTATTAAATTCTTCTTAATCACATCTAAAGAAATAGCTGTGTAGATGAAACGCTCGTTTTCCGCCCTGCCTTTTTTATTTTCTCTCTTGTATAAGAATGGAGAACTTAGGACACATCCAATAAATCGCAGGACTGCTACATTAAGGGATTAAAATGCCGGACTCGATACATGCATGAAGAATTCAGTTACCTTGTCTACCTTTCTTTCAAACCGGACCTTTGAACGGTGCGCACTGTAACACTCCTGCCTTGACTGTTCCCAGGGTATTCCAGAGCAAGTCTGAATACATCTTGATATAAAATGTTACGTAAGTTGAACTTCAGATCGGTTTTTTTCTCCCCCCCATGCACACGTGTCTGACATATTCCTCCTCCTGTCGGCCTGGGTAGCATGCGGTTATATGAAGCGACGGTATCATACCTTAGCAGAAGTGAGTGAATCGCGCTTTCCTTTGTTCAGCAGTAAATCCACGCACTGGAGTGCTGTAGCAGCCAGTCGCTCCAGCGAGCTGAGGTGGGTTCAAGGATCTCGGCCGGCGGAGGCACCCCCGTGTAACTGCTCCCAAGGCAACGTGTCTGGGGAGGCGGGCGCAAACAGGCGCAGGTTTGTGATTTGCGCTTTCAGACCAGTGTCTGACAAATGGAGCTGACGATGGGGTCCACCTCCACCCGATAGGCGAGGAAGGCTTACATATTTAAATGACATGGAAATTACGAAAACACGTGGACACGAGGATCGGTTTCATTGCGACAGGCTGGGGCTGAGAGTCAAACTGTGTTTTTCTTTTCTTTTGTTCTCGGTGGCTAACTTTTCCTCCCTCCTGATGCCGCCCGGCTCGCTGCGCCGCCGGAGGGGGACGCCTTCCGCTCCCGAGCGTTACTCCGACTGGCGCCCATGGTGGCAGCAAAGCCAGCGGGCATCTGTTGCAGTGAAGAGAACTAAAACTTTGGCATCGTTTTATTAAAATTGATTGGAAATGAACATTCGGTGTAATCGTAGACAAGGCAGGGGCTAAAAGAGATGGGGGGGATGGTCGGTGGTAAAGTGCCCTTCAACGGACGGTTGAAATTCACCCTCATTTAATTTATGTCAACCGTAGTTAAAGGCCGTAGGCAGTGCCTGTCTAATGACTGGGGTGTACAGAACAATCTGTGATTTCACAAGCGCACAAATGCAGGTGTGGCGATATCAGATTGGCCCGGTAGGAAGATCATTGCTGTGTGGATAGTTAATCCGATTGCGCCACCGCAGAGCGACCTGGCCTTGCCTTCCGCATTGCGTCCTCACAGCACAATAGGCAGTTGCCTATTGTGGCCGGCCACCGGGATGAATGAGTGAACGGGTGGGTGGGTGAGTGAGTGAATGAATTGCACCCACGCCCGGGTACACCGTGTCTGCCATCAGGACACGTGCGCCCCGGCTCGCTGGCACGGCGCGGTGTTGACATTGTAGATCAAGTTGCTTAGTGTCTGCCGAGCTGTACCTGTTTTATAAACTTTGCCCCCATTTGATTAAATTGTTACTTTTTAAAAAAACGCCAACTAGAAGAAAAAGTAAAGCATCCGTTGCAAGATAACCAGTAAAATGATTTAGGGAATACATCCCACCAAAGCAATAGTAACCGCGAATAAATCCCCCCTCACCACACACACACACCTTTCTTAAAGTTAAGAGAATGACATTATTAAGATTTTTTCTAAATTGCTAATGTAATTGTTAAAGGAGTATAAGATGCATTTAAAGTTGCATTGGCGTGGGCCTTTTTCGTTTCACTGAGCTCATGCTTTATCTTGGATTAAAATAATTAAATTCCTTTACGTTTCGTTAGTTTTTTATGTATTGAGAAAAATCTTGAATACTTTAAGATTAAAGAAGTTTTTCAGTAGAGTGTTGCATAGAGTCTCTTTCCAAAGTTCTCCTAACTCCCCTAAAAATTAACGTTCCTTTGATTTTCGACAGGCCTGTAACTACTGTCCCGAACGATCAGAAATGTTTGATTTGACTTTTAGAGGAAGGGATAAAGATCACAGTTAAAAGGTGGAAGAAATGTTCCTCTTTCAGACCGTTTTTAAAACTTACGTCTCTCTTTTTATAGGATCGTTATGTCAAGAGCAGAAAAGCCACGTTTAAAGTTTTGCTTTGGAAAGGAAGTTGTGTTTGACGTGGGACCGAACTGACAATAGCAGACGACGTGAGCTCTAAATTTAAACCCACCCGAAATGCCGGATCTTGCGTGTTTTAAGCATTTACAATAACCGTCCTTTCAACATTTTAACCAGGGCCTTTCATTTCTGGAGCGCAATCAGAAGCAAATCTTTACACACCAAACTGAACACACTAGTTAAATACTGTACTTTCAGTGCTGAACACGCCTCCATAATATGAATTAAATCGCGGATACAAAATCTAACATATAAATACTATACAAAAAATCATTTTAATTAAGGTCTTGACAAAATACAAATCTCCAAACGTGTTGCTAATAACCGCTGCGTGTTTCAGGTTCTGTTTCGCTCTCTGTTTGAATGTGTTGAATCGAGAATTTCATTTGTAACCAGTTCGACCTATATGTAGCTGACAAATGAGATAATATGTCACAATATTCAGCTTAATAGTGTATCTTTGACAAGGTTATTGTCTTCATCTTGTACCAAAAATGGCTCTATATTTCCTTTCCTTTGTGGTCATTTCACAGTTGATAGTAACTTTCGTCCTTGAACTGTTGTGTGTTTATCTCAGATTCCTGTTTCCGCAGTGATACTTTGATACTGGCTTACCTTTCACCACAAAATGTGAATCTAAACTAATATCTATTAAATTATCAATAGTAATATTAGTGTTTGCCATATGCAATCAAGCTATTTTTGAGGAGCATTGCTCCAAAACAAAAATACATACTTTTCTGCCTTTGTGGAGTTTTTTTTTCATAACCAATGGAATGAAGGATTTCTCTGTTCGTCATCCCTTTCATTGTCTCAGAAAAATGTCACTTCTGGCAGCAGCTCATTTTTAATCTTTCTACCAGTTGTGCTGTCTGTCTGGAAGTAGATGATTTTGCTAGGTTGTTTATCTGCTTGTTGTTCAGGCTTGAGGTTTGAGCCAGCACGCAGTCACGTCTTTGAACCCGGCGGCGGAAAGTTCTGCTTGTGTGAGCCGCGTCTCTGTCTTTTCTTATTTTTAGCTGATCGTTACGTGAATGAAGCAGATCTGAAACAGGGAGAAGACGCAGCCAGTGACTCACGAAGGCTCTCATTTGCTGCTTCCAAACTGTTCTGGTGAGAGGCCAGATGAGGATGTGGAGCCTGAAGCGAATGAGTCATAACCCCTCACAGAAAAACGTGAGTCGAAGTGGGAGACACCCGCCCACATCCTCTCCTTTCAGTCCTTGGCTTTTTAATTGAAAAGCATGGTTAATGCAATCACTAGCAGGAACAAAGTGTCTCTTTTCCTTGCCCTCCCCTCTTTTTTTTTTTGGTTCGAAAGAATTCCACGTGAGCGGTGAGGCTGTGAAAACGGCAGAGTGCAATTTGGACAGCGCAGAGACGCCCTCCAGACAGTTTTAACAACGGGGTGCAATCCTGTCTGGTTCAAATGTGTGCTGGGAGAGGTTTCAGAAAGCCTGATGTTTCTTTATGGTAGTTGGTGGAGCCATTTATAGAGCTACAAGTTGGCAATCACTGGTTAAGTTAAAGGCAGGTTAGATACAGTTCCAGCAGTTCATAAATTTAGCCTATTGAGTGCCAACGAGTTTGTCATTTAAACCGAGTATGCATAAGGAGCAGTGTTTGCAGACCAGTATTTAAAACATTATTATTGGAATCCTGATTGTTTTTCACTGCTGTCTCCAAATGAAGCTGTGAGCCTTCTGAAAAAAAAAAACCCATGTACAACCCATAGCCCCCACCCCTGCTTTCTCAACGCCTTCCACTCAAAGGACACGCTTTTATGAGCATTTTGTTTCTTGTTTAGATTGAAAAATGAATGTGAAAGCAGGTGCTTTTTGTCAGTGTAATGTGTCAAGTTTCCCGGTTTCTTTCTGCCATAGATAAAATAACACATGTAATCCACAGTGCAAGCAGAAATGGCCCATTTTCTATTTCTGCCATTTACATGTGGCAGTTCATGTGAAAAAAATAATAATTTCAAACCTCCACATTTGGGCCTGTCTGAAACCAAATGATCCCACATTCTCATACTGACTGATTTAAATATTCTTTTACAGATCTGGAAGACTTTAACACCTGTCTTCACGTACAGATGTCCAGCTGTTCCAACCTCCCTCTCTGCCCCAGGCAGACACTACAAACAAGGAGATTCTCATTTCAATATCCAAGAAGCTTTTCTTCATTTCAACATACTAAGCTGATCTAATTCTGTGATCACTGGAACTTGATAATCTTTTTACAATTGAGGATTCAAAAGAAGCTTTTGATTGAAGTTATAGTTAGAATATTTTGAAGTCCAGAGCAAAATCACAAAACTAAGAAACTAGTCAATGAGGGGAAGATATAAGGAGACCAACAGAAACCTAGGATATACAGTTAAAATGTAGAAGTTAAATCAAAAGAAATAATAAGACTTCATTAATATATTAACTATTGTGTTTTTATTTTCTTTACCTTGTTATGTTACACATAACATATTGCTGCTCTGGATGTCCAGAAAAGTCTTGAACAGTGAAGACTGCAAGGAAAGTGATTCCAATATTCCCAATCTTCATTGTGAATTGATGAAGTCAACCCACCGGACGTCCTCAGAATCAGGTTCAAAACATGAACCTGAGAACACAGGTGGAAGCTATGGAGAAGGGTACCACTGTGTCAGGGGCATAGTGAGTCACAGAGCTGAGAACAGCAGGCACTTCTCTACACAAAGATGAGTGGGAGCATGGAACAAGTAGGGAACCGTGCAAAGGCTGGGTGAGACTTTTAGATCAATTAGCTACTCACAACTAAATGAACTAGATGGACTGAATGCTCTCTTCTTTTTCGGGTTTTCCTTGTGTTTTCATGTTCTAGCACACGGCCTGTGTTTTAAGCAGGTCAGGGGCGACTGGATCATCCTGTGCCGTGTATTATCAGACCCATCCCATTACAGTTCGGTCTGCACTTCGAACCAGTCCTCTACCCCTACATGCCAGGCCTCTTGGATTCTTCCAGCTGAAGCCCCACTGTCTCAACACGTACAGGTATGGTATTCGTGAAAAAAGCCAATCCAGTTTAATTAACCACACTTTTTCCTGACAATGCCAAACATCATTTTTTGAAAGCCTGTCACAGGACACCAATACAGTTGACAGCCTGTAAGGAGGCATTCCTTCTTGGTGACATGCAGAAACCCAGCATCTCTTCACCACTGAGTCAGGGGCGTAATGAGTCACAGAGCTGAGAGCTGGCACTCTGATTTAAAAGAGCTTTCACAAAGCAGGGATGATTCACACGTGGATCTGGAAGCATGCGAAGAATCACTCTTTTTTGGTCTCATTCATAAAAAGAAGAAAACCTTGCCATGTTCTTTTGCATGCTCGGTCTCACAAAGACTCTTTTAATCAGTCTTTTCAAGTTTGTGCCCGCAGATGATAACGCAGAGCTATTTATCACAGACGTTTTTTGTAAAATACCACCCAGTGACGGCCTTTACATCTCCAAAGACTAATTAAAGATAAAAACTGGATGAATATGCAGTTACAGAAACCAAGCCCTCCTCCTCTGATGAGGATAATGGTTTTAAACAGGTCTGTGGTGAAGGAACGCGTTTCTGCACTGCTTCATTTAGCAGCTGTTCCCTGCTCTTTGAAGGCAAGCAGTGCAGGTTTGGTCTAGTTTATTGGTGTACCACCCCCGCTTTTCTTTTCTTATTTGAAAGAAGAGTGCTCTCTTCATCCAGGTATTGGTTTTGTGTTTCATCACAGGGATAGATCAGATGGCACCAAAGAATCTGAGAACCTGGCTACTGTGTGCCCATCATCAGGGTATTTTCTGGCATGACAGCTGGTTATTGATGTTCACGATTTTGCACGTTACACAGTCGGAGGGATGAATAAATTGTAGCCCGAGCTGTCCCAGAAGCTGCCATACAGAAAGAAGCATGCTGTGGTTGTCAGTAGCACGTGAGGCAGTGTAGACAGTGAAAACCGAAGATTCCCAGTGCTCAGTTCGTTAGTGGGAACAAAACAGGGATTAAAGAGATCATTCAACCAGGAAGCAGACGGCACCACAGATGACCACAGTGAAGTCATGCCTTACTTCACCCAACTTTAAAATGTCTTTTGTTATTAGTAACATTTACTTTGTTCATTAAGGACTGAAGTTCTCCAGTCCGCTTAACTACAGAAACCAAGCTGAGCTCAGGTCTAATGAGCCACTGTGGCTCTGGTATTGACTTTACCTTACAGTGTGACAGAAAACATTAAGCATTTCTAAGAATTCAATTCAGACTTTGCTGAAATGGTGAATGCAAGTACAGGGTTGAGAAACTCTTTCGTTTGTGCTTAGGAATTTTAATAAATATGCTTTTACCTACTCCTGCAATAAAAAGGTAAAATGGTTCAGGGATCTACTGGATCCATGAAGTTGTAGGTTTCGTGGTAAAAAATGTGGTTATAGTACCACAGCCAATGCAAGACACACACACACACATACATGCTGGAGAAGTGAAATTGTTTTTTTTTAAGGATTTCTAAAGAGGAGTAAGTAATTCAATGTACAGTAGTATCTGTTTGTTTTTATGTTCTTGTGTCCTGTGCACCCGATGCTGTGTAAATGCACAAATATGCATCCTGAGATTAAGTCGCAGAAAGACATTTGGGTCATATGGACTGTATAAAAAATGACCACCGTATTATTCTTGTATATTGAATTGGCATTAAATTGGGTAGCACAATACTAAGGTAAAGCATTTCAAAGACATAGTGCTGCTTGCTCTTTATATTCTTGTTAGATCGTACTAGAGGGAGAAGAGCCTGTGAAAACTGAAAGTGTGAGTCAATTATAGTCACTTTTATAATGTGAAGGCAGTGTTAGTCACAAACACCCTGCCAGATCATAGTGCTCTTTATTGACTTTAAGAACATGACAATTAGTCTCAGCTAAGATGTGTCTTGGCAAGCTCTGACTATTTTCCAATTCATCAGCTCAGCTCAGTGTTTCACCACACTGGACAAAACAGATTTGATGTAAAAATGATTTACATTTAGATTAAAAAAATAAACTTTAAAATTAAACTAAATAATCGAATTACTGTCCTAAAGTCTTATTAAAGGCCTGATTCATAAACAGTGCTAAATGAAGTACTAAAAGATGCAATAGCTTAAACAGCAAGTAAGAAACAATAGCTTCTGAAAACCATTGCAGGTCAAAGCAACTATTCTTTGTGAAAAAATAATTAACTAGACTCGGATACTATAAAGAAAATTGTCCATTGCAGTTTTACTTTTAGCTTTTAATGATCTAATAATACATATTTTAAAATAAGTCATTTTAAGTGATTTAATAACATCTATTTAAAGAACTAAGAATTTGTTTGATCCCTTTTAAACAAATATTGCCATTAATTTGCTTGTCTTCCATTCCATTATTAAGCGTAGTTAATGCGTATGGCAGGGGCTAAAGTTTGTTTCAATTCACCTATTCGTTCAGCAACAAAAGTTACCAGGAGCGCTCCAGCTCAGAAGTACCAAATTGCCTGCCGCCAGCCAGTATCTGTCAGTTCTTCACAAATCGTCTGTTTCTCCCAACCCTGTGAAAGGTTAATGGGCACACTGGTGGAAAGAGGGCTCAGTCTCAACAGCAATTCGAGTTTGATTCCAAGGCCTTCGGTTCAACCCTGTGGGTGGTACTTTAAAGGTCTGCTTTCTCCTTTTTCCTGAAGATGCAGAAGTCAGTCACATGTTCCCAGGAAATTTAGCCCTGCCCTGTTTTCAACACTGTTCACATGGAGGCTGAATCTTCGGCAAGGAATCACAATTGAATCTTTAATGGCAGTTTGTAAATGTCTGAACCGCTGCCAGTACAATTCAAGTGACACCGAGATATCTAGCTTCAAGGCTGAAAGCAACATGTGACTGGAGTGTATTTTAACACAGTTATGTAACTTCAGATCAGTCCACATACAGATGAGTAGGCTACACATGATGCTGAAAACCGTGAAGGCTCCACCAGTGAAATTAGCTTTATGAATTGTTGCATAATTCTTCACAGAGTCTCCCTTATCAGCAATGTCATTTGCTGTGGCTTGTATCTAAATGGATGTTCTGTATTTATGTGCACTGCTTCTCATTTATTACATCTACATTTTATTTTTCAATTGGTTCCTTTATCTTTGTTCTGTACATTTCTGTCAATATAGTAGGTTTATGTGTGTAAAATGTTCTAGTTCTCGACTTTTATGATCATGTTATTTCAAATACAAATATTTTCTTCTTCTTTATTTTTAAATATAGCTTTTCAAACTTTCCCTCTACGTGTGTAGAAGTGCATCTCATACTTGAAGATCACCACACAGTGGGGCCATCGCCAAATCAACACCACAGACCAGTGTACGTTTGACTTGATGTACATGTGATCATGTCCTTTTGTCTGTCCATGTGGGCATTTCTGTGTAGGTCTTTAATAAAGATGCCTACTTCTGTATTCACCATATGACAGCACTACAGTGGCTGGATACGCACTGATAAATTTCAACTGCTGATAAACGGCACTAGCAGTCAATTCCACAGATGCTGATAAGGTGTAGTCTGCTTTAGGTCTCTCATGAAGCTAAGAGGTTATATCTCATTCCCAAGGACAAACATTGGCAGAACACCAAAGAGTTAGTCACAGCAAGGAGCTGAGCATAAGAAAAGTACAACTAGACCTGCAGTCGTTGTCCATTTGTCCTCAGCTGCATGATTTTGTTTAAATACCAATGGGAAAGTGGGTTTTTATACTCATTTATAATGTTACAGAACATTTACTTCAAGATAAACGAACCGATAGATTATCTTAGCACATACAGCACCTAAAGATTCCATGTTAAGTTGATGTTCAAATGGTCCAGAGGCGAGACTGCAGTCTGGCCACTGATAACCAGTTTTGTGAAAAGTATTCAGTATTGACACAGATAGAACTGGAATTCTAACCAACTTGAAAATGGAAATGTGTCACTTCTAGTCATTATCATTGCCTGTATGGCTATGATTCAGTTAGAATAATATTTCTCCCTGCACTGCAACTATCCTTAGGCAGTGATCTGCGTTTTGTGTTGAGCATACGAACAAAAACGTGGGGTTTACATAAGATATATTTATTGGGCTCCAGCAACTATGACCATACAGTTGCATAACTTTGCGAGGCCCATATTAGGATTATAAATCTTTTGTTTGGACTCCATCCCAAGCCTTAAAAGTTAAAAAGTACCTGGACTGTTTCCAGAAACCACTATTTTTTGTGGGATAGCCTTGAGTAGAAGGGGCTCTGTTTCTGGCTGGAGTTCTTCTTAGTGAGGCCAAGCCTTTGAAAACGTTCAGGCCCCTTCAAAAAGCAGGCATTGACAAGCTCCAATAAGTGAGCTAATTGGTCTTAATTATTCTTATTTCATCATCTTTGATCTCATTTTAGAAGCATGTTACATTCTGGTAAGGTAATACCACAGTAAGCAAACAGATGATATATTTAATCATTGATTTATGAGATTTATAACATTTTTTACAATAAAAGTGCAGACATTTGAAGTATAAGGTTTGCATGTTTGAAAAAATGGATGCTGAACATTAAGGTCCAGTACACCACAGAAAAATGCTAAACAAATGAACAGTAAAGGAACACAATGTAGTAATCGCTGCTATAATTCTGTTTTTTTTTGTGTATTTTCCAAAATGCGCATAGACAGGACTAATAAATCTGAAACTGAGTGTTTTCCAAAGTACAGAGAGTGAAAGACCGATGTGTTATGTTCTTGTAAAACTGGAATGACTTAGGAAGAACTTGTCTGTCTTTAATAGTTCTTGGAAGAAGACAAATGACCTTTTCTTCGGAGATGAGCAATAAGAACACCAAACACGGGAGAGAACTAAAGACTAGCAAACAACTTGAGTCATTGTGGCGGATCTATCCGGGTGGGCAGTCCGGGCGTCTCGGCTTCACTGGTTCTGATGTCACTGTGTGTGATAGCACTACTGGGGCCAGTGGGAGATGCTAAATCCCTGTGGGACCTGGCAGCATGGTGAGCTGAGGACAGGGAATAGGTGACTTGTGTCTTCTGATCCTGGAGCAGATCTGGAGTGTGGAGTGTGTCTGACCCCTCCTCTGACCTCAAGGACTTTGCTGCCCTGTGAAATGGGAGCCGGGTGCATTTCACGCTTCATACAGCCCATTAAAAGGGGAGACTTACAGGTCCACATTTAAAGTTGATCACTGCTTTTCCCTCATTCTGAGTAAGTCTTCCTTTAGTTCCTGCTTTTCAATCTCGCTATGTTTTACATTAGGCCTAAATAAGAGGAAGTCAAGAGTCAGCAGCAACAGTTGTTTTCAGCAGCAACACTGAAGTCTGCAGCTCAGTTAAGGTGATTTCGAGAGCCTATATGCAAATCTTCAGTATTGTTATTGTTTAATAAGGTTCTGTCACATCCATATCTAAATATTAGACAGAAAACTGTAAAATGCAGGAAGTGCAACTGTATTATCAGATTTTCCTTCATTCTTAACAGATGGTTTATAACATAACCCAGTGTAGAAAAAGACATCACCCACACCACAGACCACAGGGAAAAGAGAGAGCTGCCCTACATTCGATGTGTATTTGTACATTTCATGGCAATCAAATAATTTGCTAGTGGCAGACTCTAACCCAGCTGGTACCTGATGAAGAATGAATAGTGCCTTTCTTCCATTTTTGATATTCTGTATAATGGGGGCTGAGATATTGGACACCTGATTGATTCAGAACCTCCAGGGCAGTTCCACCAGTGTCTTGGCCAAATTTCCCCCTGGCCTTTACCAGTCATGGCCTCCTAATAATCCCCATCTCTGAACTGGCTTCATCACTGCTCTCCTCCCCACTGAGAGCTGGTGTTGGGTGAGTGTACTGGAGCATTATGGCTGCCGTCACATCATCCAGGTGGAGCTGCACACTGGTGGTAGTAATAATAAATAATAATAATAATTAATAATAATAATAATAATAATAATAGCTTACACTGGACACTCCACTCAAAGCGCTTTATAGGTAATGGGGACTCCCCTCCACCACCACCAATGTGCAGCATCCTGGAGAGGGGTCCCCATTACTGAGTGGAGTGTCCAGAAAAGCGCTATATAAGTGTAAGACTTGAGAGTGAGGCTGGGTGAGACAAGTCAACATCGTCAAACATCCTGCTGTTAAGAGGTTTCCTTTGCTCTATCACAGTGCTTTCCCCTCCCCTCTTCCACAAAGCCAACCAACCCTCTCGAAGATCGACTAACATAGTTGCCTGATGAATCTGAACCATTTCAAATTGGAAAAATGGCCTTGAAGTTTTAATTAGCTACATCTATGTAAAGCAGCATGGTTTGGGTTTGTTTTCTATAAGGAGTGAAACACTCTGACCCATCTGTAATTAGTACTGAGCCTTTTTGAAACTCTACTCCTGCTTTCTCCACAGGGATTGTAAATATCACTATTGTAACAATAGTATTATTTAATTCCATGTATAATCTTTTAGATCAACTTGCTGTATGATAAATGGCATCTTTTACCAGCAAATCAAATTCAAATGTGTTATTTAAATTGTAGTTGTGATGTGCGTTTACTGGTGGGCTGGGTTTTTTTAAGGTAATTGATTTTATTTTAAACTGAAGGATAAAGGAATTAGACTTTCTGACTGGGGTATAGTTAGCCCTGGACTTAGTAAATACCAATCCACAAGCATGCACGCACAAGTCAAGGTCAAACTCAGTTCCTGTGCTACACAAAGGAAATCAGCTTGATACATTCCAGCTGCCTTCATGCTTCTGCACACTTTTAGCCTATTTCAGCACATAGTTCTGTGTTATTTGCATAGGTACCAATTCACCAAGAAACAACTGGACAAGAACATTATCTCACACTTCATAATGTTTGAATGCTCCTCCTAATTTGTTTATCAACAGGTTGTGCCCTGTGTTTGTTATAATTTTATACAAGCTTACATATTTATTGAAAACCTTAACCTTATGATTAACACTCATTTATCTTCAAATTAAAATTAAAAGGGCATGTGTCAGACATGAGTGAAAAGAAAAAGGGTCCTATAAAAACACAACAAAACTGCATGTACAACATAAATACAGTACACAGAAAATAATAAACATTTTAACTGAACAAGTTTCTGGTTATGACAAAGGAGGAGGGATGATGGTGGATCCAGATTACTGTGTAACTATTCTTACTTTTGGAATGTCTGTTTTAAAACTGAATAGGTTTATCCGTTGGGGATACTCTGCAAGAGAGAGAATTGGCTTAGAAAGTCAAAACAACTGAATAGCTACTGACGCTGAAAACCAGCCTGACTGAAAGTATTGCATTCTTCCACATACTGAGAGCACAGAAAAATGGGAAGTTATGGCTCAGATACATGGTTGATCATTCAATGATTTACTCAATCTGTTTTCACTTTTATTATTTTAGATAAATGTGTTGTTTATAATCACAGAGAAACCAATTCGATACATAGCAATTCTAGTCATTCACTTTTCAAATAGGAAGTACAGTATATGCTTAGCCATTTTTTCAGGCCACCTTTAACTTTTGGAAAGATTCAGGGCAAATGTCAAGTGCAAATGTTGCACAAGCAACTCTCCACTTGATCTGTTTAAACAAACATACCGTTCCTATGTCAGATAGGATAGGCTTTCGTGAATAGAAACCATAACAAAGTAGAGCACTAGAATGTTAAGAGCCCATTTACTCTCAGGCTCACGTAAGAAGATAGGAGGAACCTATTTCTCTTTAATAGCAGGAGGTTTTTTCAGCTTGAGGTTATTGGGTTCATACCAGCATCTGCTAGCACAAATGGGCATGCCTAACAAATTCAACAGTCAGAAAGCAAAGGCAGCTTGCAAGGAATTTCCAAAATCTGGGGGGGGGGAGGGTAGTCGTTTAGTCTGAGGTCAAGAAGTCCATGCCATTGCCTGTGAGGACAGATGATCACTTACTGAAGCCTCCGAATACCTTTCCCAAATACCACAGGCTGGTACAAACTGCAGGCCTTATCCATTACGCCCAGAAGTAACTCAAACGTTTTAGCAGTTTATTTTTTTTTATTACAGGACTACTGACAATATACAGCACTCTTTGTCATTGTATGGAAAAGTGTTGCTGTTATTGAGAATTAGTTTCGCTTTCCTGACATCAATCTAAAATATTTTTAAATCTATAAAGGTGTTTAATGGAAGCAACTGTTTTACTGAGAAGTTCTTGGCTACTTCAGTCTGCATTCATCTGCTCTGTCCATATCATTACAGAAATAAAATAATGTTTCTTCCATCCATAATTTACTTTTTTTGAGCATTTAGATTTTGCACTCATAAAAGCCTTTTCTTATATATTGTCATCATGAACCTTTATTGAGCTGCTGGACAAAGGTCTCCCACAAAACCTTTGGAAAAGTTTTACTTCAGTTTCTGTAAAGTTCATTTTCGCACCTATGTTCATGCTAGCCTTGTGCTGTCCATGTACTTGTAAGTGTTGTTTCTCTGGGCTTGGTGCAAACATACTTATTACTATATTACAGCATATCTTGGGCTGTGGATAGTGATGGTGATGAAGGTGTGTTGAAAAGAATTTCAAAAAGAATACAAATTAAATTTATTGTGTTATGTACTATAGAAGATCTTGTCTTTGACAAATAAAGCAAGAAATCTGGATCTGTAATTTAGATTGTTAAATATATTATTTAATCCATTAGGATTCTTCCAGTCAGAGGTCACTATAACCCCTGTAGTATTGTACTAGGATTTCTTAAATAGAACTAGTCAAGACTTCAGCTCACAAGATATCAGGTATAAGGCTTGCTATGTAAAATTGATTTGTATATGGATATTACCACTTTGGTCGTGGTATTAAAAATTCTTTGCATAAAACACTGTTTTGCATATGGCCTATTTCCATCAGAAAACCACCAAAATAAAACTTGACCTAAATAGAGGAGCTGACTGCAGAAATGTAATTCTTCATTTGAAAAGCAACAGTCCCTTAGTAATCAATCCAGTATAAGATGTCTCTTTGTATTTTTAAGTATGCCAGTGTGGATTCTGCTTTCTCTACATGACATTGAACACTTCTGCTGACCAGTTGCGAGGTTAAGTGGGCAGAGACGTTTCTCTCAGACTTGTGCAGCAACAGTCTCTTCTGGAACAGTTTACAAGAAATGACTGAATGAAGTGTGGGAGTAACAGTCTTGCTCTTAATGGGTGTTTAAATGCTAGTTGAGCTTCTCTCTGGAAGTTGGTTTCATGCTAGAAGAAGTCTTTTCTCCTCTCTCATTACTCGTCTTCACTGTGATTAGCGTTTGCCAATGAATAACTTTTCATATTGGTGTTGCTCAAAATACACACATTCAAGATTCCTTGAAAGATGTTCACACATTCAGCTAAGCTGTGTAAATTAATGCATGTTTTAAAAATGTTCAGCAGTCATGTTTTGACCCATTGTACCTGTTAAAAAAGCAGTTTTAAATTGCTTTCTTTACATTTTACAAAAGGAAAAAATGTATCTTGCAACTTAAAACATTGACACCTGTCGGGAATTAAGCCCCAGAGTTTGGTCAGTAGGTGGATTTTGCTTTGTGCTGAATCTATGAGTGCACCACTGTTAAACTGTGCTGTAGTTTCAGCTCTTTTCAGTTATTATTAATTTGTTGTTATTATTACTTAATTTGAAAGTATGGACTGTAAATTCTCTAGTTGATTTATAGTTTTCTTTTTGCCCCCAGAACTACTCAGAGATACTGAACCTCTGTGGCGAAGAGGGACACTGTACTTGAGAAGGTGGCATCCTTTCAATGTGTCGCTGTTTTTAGCACTGGTTGGAAAAGCAGCGGATGTTGACCTTGTCCCAGCTCATTTCCACTCCTGGTTTGCACAATTTGACCTCCCTAATTTTTCCCTCTAACTTTGGCGAAACAGTTTCTCGCTTCTCTTCGTGATCTGCACTATAGTGGGGCTGCTGGCACATAATGGCTGCCATATCACTGTGATGGATCTGCGCCTCAGTTAGAAGAAAAAGACGTGCTTTCAATGAAATCCAAAGTGGTGAGTGGTGGGGTTAGCGAGTGTCAATCAACCGGGCTAAAACCCCAGCCGGGTGGGAAAAGAGCAAACCGAGAAAACCACAGCTCTGAAATGTTGCGAGGCTGATTAACAGCCTGGTAATAGCTGTGTAAATGATACTGTCGGCGTGATATAAGTACCCGACGTCAATGTCTCTGGTGGTTTAAGTCCTAAATTGAGCAGACATTGATTTCACCCTTGCCAAAAGGAATACCGGGCGGGATCTAGACCAGATCAGGGAAAATGAATTACTCTATCAGGACTGTCCAGTTTTTTATTTGTTCTCTGTTCCAATTACGTTTTCTGAGTCTCAGTTGCATGCAGTCAGTAACCCAGTGCTCCAAAGGCTTCCTGTGATGGATGTTGTGGCGGACAGATACAGAGAACCAGCTCCACAAATAAAGCCATTTCTCAGTCAGCTAAGGGAGTGACAGCTGTGTGCTTTTACAGAAAATGTTTGATGTGCCTGCGGACAAAAATGATAATTTCAGAACTAAATTTAAAAAATGACGTGAAATCACAGACATACAGTATATAGAATTTATTATTCTTCTTCAGACTTGGAATTGTATAACGTTCACTCTCCTACCTATATCTGTTTATACAGGTCAAGGTCAGTTTCAAAACACACGTCTGAAGATTGTGTGCTGTAGAGATGGCCAGACTGAAATAACAGACCATGGATCGCAAAA